ATTCTTTCTATTCTGCTATTTCACAGCATGTAATAAATGTCTGTAGCGCACATGGAAAGGACGAAAGGCTCCCAGTTGTCTGGAACATGTGAGAGATACTTTTGTTTAATGATAACAGTGTGTAGAGTTGGACAGCATCACCATATTTTATTGTTATGGTGATGCATGTTGTTACTGAGTTAAACAGCAAGCTTATCATAGATATCATCCATGCTTAAAGACCACTGACGACACGTTTATCATAAAGAGAGGATAATTAGTTCTGTTTAATTGGATTGGATGCAGCACAGTTTGTGAAATGATATATGAAAAGTGTGGTACTCGAAGCTTTTATGGCTGTTTTTAAATGAAGCTCATTGTGTCAGAATATTGTGGTGTGTATTGTTTATTGTGAAAATTCCTTGAAGTAGTGTGATATGATAGTTTAGCCACATCTCGCACTCCCAAACTCTTAAAAAGATGGTTCTGCAATGGTTCTTTAGTAAAGGGAATGGTTCTGTTTGGTTCTTTGCGTGGTGAAATGGTACTTCAGGTTGATGGAGAATGTGTTGTTCTTTATAGCATCAAAAAGGGCTCTTCTGTTGTCATGATGTCAAGCTGGTAACAATAGAAGAACCCTATTTGGTGCCATACAGAACCATTTTCAATACAGTTTTGTATAGAACTATATAGAGCAAGCTATGTAACTATAACTTTATACAGCAAACTGATCCTTTAGTATCAGTCGATACCAAGTACCGATAATGATACTAACGCTAATCTAACTCTTTAACTTAGCATTTAATTAAAATCTCTACGTCTCTTGGTTTTTATCTTTTAATCTGATCTTTCTTATATGATTCTAAATTAATACGCATAATTTGTATCACTGTTAAGCTTTATTTTCTGTCTGTAAAGCACTTTGAGCTGCAACCGACAAGAAAAATGCTATATAAAAAAAAATGATTATTATTATGATTATTATTATTATTATTATTATTATTATTATACAACATATTGCTGTTGTTGGAAGAAAACCTTGTATCTCCATTTTTGTCGTTTTTCAGTTTATGACATAATTTGAAAATTCCTGTTGCCCTTTATATTGTTTGTAAATTTCATGATGACTGGACCAAAAGAAACGACCCACAATTACTTGAAAAAAAAGTCTGGTTCCATTGACTTACATTAAAAGTGAAGTAGGTTTTTCCTTCTCCTGTAAAGTTACCGTTTTGGAGATACAAGAGGGGACAACTGTGGAAACGAGATATTTAGCCAAACCATGTCACCACTATGCTGTGAATGGTCCACTCTCCAAGTAATATCTGGTCAGTGGTGGTCCTATGGTGGTCCCCTTCCACTGATGGACAGGGTAGAGTGGGGCTGATAAGTTGTGCAAAAGATGGGCCACAGTCTGTAACTGTACGCCTAAATAGTGGCCCTGTAAAGTGGTCCATGAGTGGAAGTACAGTGTAAGGGTTTCTAATAAAGTGGACAGAGGGGTAAAATGGATTTTATGTTTGGCCTCTTAAAGCCATTAGAGCTGATTGGTATTCTACACTGTTGTGTTGACTCTGGGGAAATGCACTCCCATCGACAATCTATAGACTTTTCCACAGCCTGCGTAGCATGCAGTCCCGAGAAAAGCTTCCCTGCCTCCTACCTTCTGCTTCTCTCTTTGGTTTTTGGTTTTGTGACTGGAAGAGATGTTTACTTTTAACCCTCTGGGGTCCGCGAAAGCGCCAGCACATCAAATTCACTGTTTCTATATCTGTTTTTGTATCTTTGTGATGATCCAGCTCAGAAATCCAGTTCAAACACTTCCTGAATCTGTAGAGTCGCCTTTCCATTCCATCTTATCACGAGATCATACGAGACTCACATCCGGAGTTATGAGCCTATGAAGAGGGGCTGAGATACACGTCATCTGCCTCTCACCGTGTGGAACTGGTGGATTCGTGTGTCCGTCTACATTCTGTGTGAAACTGACCAATGGACACTCAGGAAATCACTAAGTACTGACCATCACGCCGGAAACCCTTCATTCTTCATTCAGTCCACATCGGAGACTCATGTGAAATGGCGTGCAGAGAGTTCACAGCTGCTAAAGTTGCTGCAGCGGTTTTGGAAAGTAGTGATGAAGATAACGGAGCATTTAGATATGAAACATATGAGGATCATGTTATATGAAGAGCCTTTAAAGGACAAAATGCCCTCAGACCCCAGAGGGTTGCATAGTCAAAAGCACTAATTAAACTACAAGCACTAATTCACTGTACATCACGTGTTAATGATTAAGGGGTGTTGTTATGCACATGAAACAGAGTGCAGTCACACCATTCATTCCACATGACAGTACATGTTTTACTGCTTTTATTAAAAAAATACAATATGATGAAACATTTCTATGTTGAACTCAACCTAAAATTTCTTTTTCTTATAATCTCCCATTAAATTTAATGAAATTTTCCTGCTTCTTAAACAGCTGATTTTTTCCTTCTGCTTTCCAAAATGAAAGGAAAGTTCACACATAAACGGCTTGAAACATGTTTAGTTTTTGTTTTTAGCCATTTAGTTCTATTCACTTCTATTCACTGAGGACCTATGGGCGCCCTCTAGTGTTTTACAGTCATGATTTTGATGTAATAGGTGAGCTAAAAACTAAAAATTAAACGTTTCTGCATGATTTTCTTTCATTTTGGACAATAGAAAAATATTTCCTATTAACATTATCCATTGACAACTTACCAGTATATTTTGGCCTGTAAAACACAGCTACTCAGTGCTGATTGGTTGTCACGCTGTTTAACTCTTTGGCTGAACGAGCACATCTTTCTATGTAAAAAATGATAAGCATTTACAATTTGTGGTAAATTGTAAATCTCTAGCCTCTGATAAACCCAGAATACCTTGCTGAGTGTCAGTTCTCCTCAGTGGAGATTCTTTGGTTTTGCTGGTGTCATTTTTTCCCAAAACCACTCTTGGTGGAAAATTCCACTGAAATGAATAATTCCAGTTGCACAAAGCCAGTATGACTGGACATTACAGTAGGCTGTAGTGGCCTGGGAACATACGGTCAAACATTTTTCCATGAATAACTTGGTGAATGAACTCACTTGATGTGTTTGCTCTTATTAGTGTATATTTAGTGTTTTACAAGGGCTTCAAAGGTGGCTCAGCCAATCAGAGATTAGAACAGGAGCTGTCTGTTTTACAGTATTGATTTCATTGGAAAGCTGCATGAATGAATCACTCGCTCAGGGTCAGGATCAATGGAGCAGAGCAGGAGGGGTGTATGACCCCATCCCCCTCTGTAGCTCTGTCTGGAAGCATCTCCATGAATAGTGGCAGTATTTTCCTATGATTGGTGGGATTTCTGGCACATTCTAATACATGAAACACCACACAGACACCTGCAGAGAGCACACGAGGGAGATGGGGGTGGGGGGGCTGCTGCCTACCTTGGTCTGCGGTCCATTAACAAGACACACTGCAGCTGTTTATCTCTCTGGTTGACACTCCGTTTGTCACAGTTAGTATACGGATCACGTACATCACTGTTAGTCATGGGTGCAAATGTGGTCTGACCTGCCGGGGGACAAACATGGAGAGGCTATAGTGTACATACAGTGTTCGCACCTGGAGATGATATGATAACCCTTTTTTCATGATACCAATATTGTATATAACATTTTCCACAGATACTGATCGATGCTGATGGGCCAACTCTGGACATTAAAGTTACAGATCTTATACATAAAACTGGGTAAACAAAGTACGGCCAGTTACCACGTGACGCCTCATGATGTCTGAAGCTGGCATGGTGTGTTTTTACCTACACAGTGACCCTCTAGTTTAGTTTGTAATGACAACACAATGAAAAATACCAGCCTCCACCTCCTACTTCATCATTAGCAGCTGGTTGTGTAACAGCTGCTTT